GGACTTTAGTGCTCTCGCAGCTAGGTTTTTCAAAAATCGATACATTTTGATTCTTAACAGTTGTCTAAAGTGTCTCTGTTACAATTTGTTTAATGCGTTTTGTGTGTGAGAGTTCGGCACCCAGGTTTCGCTTCCATATAACATGATGGGAATTAATTTTGCTCGGTACACTGCATGTTTCGTTTTTGTACCCAAGTCATGATTGTAGAAAACCCTGTCTTTTAATTTCCAGACTGCTCTTGAGGCGCGGCTAATTCTGTGCTGAATTTCAGAGTCGATATTGGCCTTTTCCGCAATCAAGCTACCGAGGTAATTGAAGTCCGCTACATATTCCAATAGTTCTCCGATTTTTATCGCATTGTTATGATTTTCCGGGAGAGTGCACATGATTTTAGTTTTATCAATGTTCAGCTTAAGGCCCAAAGCCTCGTATGCCCAGGTATATGTGTTCAGCATTTCTTGTAATCGATGTAACGTTTTTGCAACTTAGCGTATTGAAGTTCTGTGATGAATTTTATAAGTATTTTTGGCCTGGTTTGGTTTATGATTCTTTTTATGTTGAACAGACCGTCATATTTGTATCTAATTCCCATTCGTCTTTTCTGCAGTTTTTTGTACATTATAATAAAGAGCGCTACCATGAATATGTTGAATAGGCAGGGCCGGATCTACCTAAGGGCTGTTTGGGCTGCAGCCCAGGGCCCCGGGGTTAAAAGGGGCCCCCAGACCCCGCTAAAAACAATAGACCCATAGGTGGGAACTGTTGAATCGTGAAATAAAATTAAAATTCACGTTAAAAAGTTTAAGCCAGACCAGATGGTTTTGCCACGATGATGCTGTCAAAGCTTTAAAAATAATTATGATGACATTATAAAAATTTTCGAAAGTTTCAACGAAAATGAGATTGAGAAAGTTGATTTCCGGAAAGAGGCACGAAATTTATTCAATAAAATGGCGAAACTCGAGACTGCAATTTTGATTATCTTTTGGGAAGAACTTTTGCAGCGACTTCATTTATTTAAAAAAAAAACCTGGTTTAGACATTTGTGAAGGCAACAAGTTAATTGTTTCAAAAAAAAAGAAAAATTCCGTTCTTTAAAAGACTTCAGAGAGCAACATTAACGACATCAACTGGGACTAAAAATGTTACAGGAATACTGACGGGCTTATTAAAAGAAAGCTAAAAAATTAAGTACTCAGTGTAATAATAGACTACAATTACATAAACAAGAGACGCAAAATTCCAAAATTTTCAGATAAGTCTACAGGTGAAATTCTCAGTATACGACGCGGCGCAGAAAGAAGAAAAGATTTAAAGAGACACGTTAAACGTTGCATTGGATAAGCTTGATTAAATAAAAGGATTTAAATAAATGAGAGACATAAATATAGCTTTCTATGATGTAAATATAGCAAAAAAATTCAAATTTTTAATGGATTTGCCAGACAAAAATATCGAAAACATAGATTTGGAAATTGCACGTCATATTATTGATTACTATCCCGATGACGTAGACGAGCATTTTAGTGAGTGCAATCAATTAAAATCGTAATTAAAATCCATGTCTGAGTCTTTACACCTCTTGCAGCAGTGACATTTTATGCTCATGTATGAAAATAAACTTATTGACGTGGTCCCTAACTGCTATACCATTATAAAGATTTTTTTTATCATTGCCAATCACTAGGTAGCTGTGAAGCAGAACGCTTCTTCGCCAATATGTCCTATGTAGAAAATAAATATAGGACAACGAAGTCGAACCATCGACTAAATAATTTATCACTTCTTTCCATAAACTGTGATCTAACAAAAGACTTGCAATGTGATTTTTTTTTATATTCTTATATAATATCACTATTTCGGTTTCTCTCTCACCCAAAGGTTGCCTGGAAGAGATTGCTACCACAGCAATAAGTCGCCTTTTGTACAACTAATACTTGCGTAGATTTAAGTAACATTTATGGGTTTTCTTTTGTGCAATAAAGAATATATAATAATAATATATCATTATAGAAACAGTTTTTTGACATGGCTATTAGTTGAATACTTAGGTAGGCCCCTAAGTAGGTTCAGCCCAGGGCCCCACAAATTCACGATCCGCCCCTGTGAATAGGAGAGGCGCTAAGACACATCCCTGCCTAACTCCTGTATTTGTTAGTAAGGGATCGCTCAGTGAATCATCATGGCAACACACTTGTTCTCATGGACGCTTTTACACACTGTAAGAAATTTGTACAAAAACTATAGCAAAATAGAGTGACATATACAGAGTGAGTCTTAAATAAAGTGCAAAATATTTTTAGGGGTAATATATTTCGACCCCAGAAACACAAGTATGATGTTTTTTTCGCAAAAAAAATGAAATTTTGGAATTTTTTTTTGTTTTTAGTTAAAAACATAATTTCTTTATATTATGGCAACATAAGTAGTAGATTAAATTTACAAGAAATAAAACCCAGAAAAGATCAACCGGTTCTCCAAATTTAAGCAAAAATCTATTTTTTTGGAAATTTTAAAAGTAAAATAACTCGGTTATTTTGGAAAACGGTAAAGAGAAAATATGTTTCTTTTATCGAGATCTACCAGCCCTGAAAATATTTGCACTTATTTAAGACTCACCCTGTATACACGAATTTCGGAACTCACGAACCGTAAGTTATTCATAAATCTGTATTATTTAAAAAAATAATAATTATTATTAAAAAAAAATAATAAAAATTTATTTTTATTTAAAGGTACGTAGTAGTTCTATGTCCACGGAATATTGGGACACCCAGTATAATAAAAAAAAATATAAATTTCTTAATAACTTTAAATTTATATTTATAATCAGATAATATTTACATAAACTTAATATTAATTTTGTAATATAATAAACGACTATAATATACAAAACAATCTCAAAATTTGTGCACTTTTAACCTACAATATTAAAATATTAACGAATAAATTAAATATGAGTTATTCTCAAAATCTCTTTCATTATTTGCGCTCGTCTGTTTTATCTTGAACTACATCTTCTTTTAAATTTGGACTTTCTGAAATTTCTTTGTTTGAAGTATCATCCGGCGATTTTATTATTTTTACATTCTCTTTTACATTTACATTTGCTTCTTCTGATATTTTGGATTTGGGTTCAATATTACTACCAGCTGGTTCAACATTTTCTGTTCTTTTACCATCTTCTTTCAAGTTTGAACTTTCACGTATTTCTTTATTTGGATTATCCTCAGATGTTTTTATGTCTTCTTTATTTAAATTTACCACATCTGGAATTGTGGATTCAGGTTGAATATTACTACTAACAGATTCAATATTTACTTTTGTTTCGCTGTCTTTTGTTATGGCAGAGTTATCTATGCATATTGATTTACTTAAATCAACTTCGGTATCGTTATGGTCTGCCAAAGTAGTATCCAAAACTTCTTCTAATTCCGGTACTTTCGTTTGAAGTTCACTCTTCAACTCGTTATCGATATTCAACAGTTCTTCTGCGGTTAGTTGTTTTAAGCTATTCTCAACCCAGGGTTCTTTACATTCCTTGTTAACTTTTGCTATAAAATCTTGTACTTCGCCAAGTGTTACTACAGCTCTTACAGCAATGTTATCCATATCGTTCTTAGATAAAATCTCCAAGACCGATAAAAACTTTTCATGGATAAGAAAAAGAATTCCTTCCAGATATGGCTGATGGTCATTTTCAAAATCGATAGGTTCAATTGAATACACGTTTTCTTTTTTGTACTTTTCCTGAAGTTCACTGAAAGCTGTTTCAGAATATATTTTAGGTTGTGCTTGTTATACGCTGCTTGAGACATAGTCCAACTCGTATGTGAAACTCAATAGTTTGCTGTATTTCTCTTTTTCAAGATTATTTTCAATGACTTTAGACGTTTTAACTATCCTCGCCAGTGATATCAAAGCTTTCTTATTATTAATATTATCACTGTCTTCTATGATATTTTTGAAATCTTTCAGAAACGATTCAGGGGAAAACACAGAGAAAAGGTTTGATCATTTCGCTGATACCAAACAGAGGCACGAATCTATAAAGATATTTTTTATCTTGATAGAACGAAATGACTTAAGGAACTAAATGTTCTCTGGACCATTTGATACCGTATCTTTTTGCCAGAAATGGAACGATAAGTGTAGCGCTTCTTCTGACTGCAAACACCTGATCTCCCGGTAGTGTTGCAAAGTAAATTTTGAGTTCACTAGAGAAATAATCTGGCTTGCAAAAGTTAGAAATGTCGATGAATGTGGTTAGGATGCCTCTTCTACTTCTCCAGTTGGATTGGGATAGAGTCAGGACAGTTTTAATTACTGTTGAAGTACTATTCAATGATTTGGAGAGGTCGATTTTGGAAGATACATAATTTAAACCCTGTAAGTAGTTTGCCAAAATACCAATAGATTCGTCGGACATCAAGATTTTTTGAAGGAATGGCAACATTGTTTCGTTAATACACTCCTCACTTAATATTGAACATATTTTGAATACATTTGATGATAGTGCTAATCTAACATCTTCATATTCGTCTATGGCAAGCTTATCGATGATAGGCATTATAATTTTTTTAATTTTTAGTTAAAAACCATAATTTCTTGATATTATGGCAACATAGGTAGTACATTAAATTTACAAGAAAGAAAACCCAGTAAAGATCCAGTGGTTCTTAAAATTTAAGCAAAAATGTATTTTTTTGGAAATTTTAAAAGTAAAATAACTCGGTTATTTTGGAAAACGGTAAAGAGAAAATATGTTTCTTTTATCGAGATCTACCAACCCTGAAAATATTTGCACTTATTTAAGACTCACCCTGTATATACGAATTTCGGAACTCACGAACCGCAAGTTATTCATAAATCTGTATTATTTAAAAATTAATAATAATTATTAAAAAAAACTAATAAAAATTTATTTTTATTTAAAGGTACGTAGTAGTTCTATGTCCACGGAATATTGGGACACCCAGTATAATAAAAAAAATATAAATTTCTTAATAACTTTAAATTTATATTTATAATCAGATAATATTTACATAAACTTAATATTAATTTTGTAATATAATAAACGACTATAATATACAAAACAATCTCAAAATATGTGTACTTTTAACCTACAATATTAAAATATTAACGAATAAATTAAATATGAGTTATTCTCAAAATCTCTTTCATTATTTGCACTCGTCTGTTTTATCTTGAACTACATCTTCTTTTAAATTTGGACTTTCTGAAATTTCTTTGTTTGAAGTATCATCTGGCGATTTTATTATTTTTACATTCTCTTCTACATTTACATTTGCTTCTTCTGATATTTTGGATTTTTCAATATTACTACCAGCTGGTTCAACATTTTCTGTTCTTTTACCATTTTCTTTCAAGTTTGAACTTTCAGGTATTTCTTTGTTTGGATTATCCTCAGATGTTTTTATGTCCTCTTTATTTAAATTTACTACATCTAGAATTGTGGATTCAGGTTGAATATTACTACTAACAGATTCAATATTTACTTTTGTTTCGCTGTCTTTTGTTATGCCAGAGTTATCTATGCATATTGATTTACTTAAATCAACTTCGGTATCGTTATTGTCTGCCAAAGTGGTATCCAAAACTTCTTCTAATTCCGGTACTTTCGTTTGAAGTTCACTCTTCAACTCGTTGTCGATATTCAACAATTCTTCTGCGGTTAGTTGTTTTAAGCTATTCTCAACCCAGGGTTCTTTACATTCCTTGTTAACTTTTGCTATAAAATCTTGTACTTCGCCAAGTGTTACTACAGCTCTTACAGCAATGTTATCCATATCGTCCTTAGATAAAATCTCCAAGACCGATAAAAACTTTTCATGGATAAGAAAAAGAATTCCTTCAAGATACGGCTGATGGTCATTTTCAAAATCGATAGGTTCTACTGAATACACGTTTTCTTTTTTGTATTTTTCCTGAAGTTCACTGAAAGCTGTTTCAGAATATATTTTAGGGTCGCTGCTTGAGACATAGTCTAACTCGTCTGTGAAACTCAATAGTTTGCTGTATTTCTCTTTTTCAAGATTATTTTCAATGACTTTAGACGTTTTAACTATCCTCGCCAGTGATATCAAAGCCTTCTTATTATTAATATTATCATTATCTTCTATAATCTTTTTGAAATCATTCAGATATGATTCAGGAGACTCACAGAGGAAAGGTTTGATCATTTCGCTGATACCAAACAGAGGCACAAATCTATAAAGATATTTTTTATCTTGATAGAAAGAAATAACGTAAGGAACTAAATGTTCTCTGGACCATTTGATACCGTATCTTTTTGCCAGAAATGGAACGATAAGTGTAGCGCTTCTTCTCACTGCAAACACCTGATCTCCCAGTAGTGTTGCAAAGTAAATTTTGAGTTCACTAGAGAAATAATCTGGCTTGCAAAAGTTAGAAATGTCGATGAATGTGGTGAGGATGCCTCTTCTACTTCTCCAGTTGGACTGGGATAGAGTCAGGACAGTTTTAATTACTGTCGAAATGCTATTTAGCGATTTGGAGAGGTCGATTTTGGAAGATACATAATTTAAACCCTGTAAGTAGTTTGCCAAAATGCCGATAGATTCGTCGGGCATCAATATTTTTTGAAGGAATGGCAACATTGTTTCGTTAATACAATCCTCACTTAATATTGAACATATTTCGAATATATTTGAAGAAAGTGCTAATCTAACATCTTCGTATTCGTCTATGGCAAGCTTATCGATGGTAGGCATTATGCTTTGTTTGAAGATGGCTTCGAAGTTGTTCTCTTGGTGCGGGTGGACTGTGTACGATTCCAGTAAGTTTTTGCAGTATTTGGAGATGTTTTTGGCCATGATAGTACGAACAGTAGCATCAATATCTTGGGCGAGTTTTTGAAAGAGAGCCAATATTTTGCCGCGGTAGATGGGGTAAGGAATACATCTCTGGAATTCGGATATGTTGTTGGCGAGATGCTGTCTCATTTTCCAAGACTGGAGATCTTAAAAAGTAATAAAAAATATTAAAAAAACGGTGTGTGCACTATGTGCGCATATTTGAAGTGGAACTTCTTACTAACAGCTATTAAATTGAAGGATTTGAAGGACATGTTTGAAAAAGTGACATATAATGCTGTTTTAATACAGGGTGTCCCAGGTTGATAGTGCATTAGAAGTTTCTAGAAAACCACAATATCTAGATCGGAAATTTTTTGCACATCATTGTTTTACAACGAGATCTATCGATTAAAAATATTTCCAATATGGCGGCACTTCCGGAAATACCGGAAGTTGACTACAACTTTCTTATTTTAAATGGCTGCCCGTATTTTTTATTACATACTGACATTCTCTATAAAATTCTAAGAATATTGATGTTAAACACTCTTTATCTAACATTAACCGTTTTTGAGAAAAAAAAAATATTTAAAATTTTTGGGCGAAAAAAACTACCTGTCAAAAAAATGTGTATAGCGTAAAAGTCAAATTTAGTGATTGCTAAAGCTACTGTGACATAAAGAGAAGACATGTAGCTATCTATGTAAAAAATTAAATTGTTCAAATGTCATATGATAATGGCGGTAGCTGTCATGGAATTGAGATTAAAAAGTTATCATAAATCATTTTTTTTTCAAATGGAAACCTACTTTTTTTATTTCACTAGTGAAAATATTTTACAATTCGTTACTTTTTAACTATACATGTTCCTATACCAAAAATAAATCGTTTTTAAGTTATTTAAGATTTAGTTCAAAAACGTATATTTTTCTTAATTTTATCTAGCTTCCTTTGACATTAAGTGTCAAAAAGTCAGACAATTTATTTCCATCTGTCAGAAAACAAATTATTTTAATTTCCTATATTATAAATACCGTTTTCTTAAAAGTTTAAAAATTGTATTTATAGAAATATATCTCGTATTTTCACTCCTTAGTGATATCTAATATATAGTTGATATTATTAATTATATATTAATAATGTACTGTATCAACCCTGAAAAAAAAACAACGCAAAGTTGGCTTGCAAATGATGATCGATAACATACTGCTTTTTGAACAAAGTATCACAATACGACATGGCCAGATCTATTGTTTTACATCACTTGACGTTTAAAGTCATAGGCTACTTGTTAAAATCAAGAAAAATATACGCTTTAAAACTAAATTTTAAATAACTTAAAAACAATTTATTTTAGGTTTGGTTTGGTCAAAAAGTCAAAAGTTAAAAAGTAACGAATTGAAAAGCCTTTTCACTAGTGAAATAAAAAAGTGGGTTGCCATTTGAAAAAAAATGATTTATGATACTTTTTTAATCTCTCAATTTCATGACAGCTGCAGCCATTATTATATGACATTCAAACAGTCTAATTTTGGAAATAGATAGCCACATGTCTTCTCTTTGGCACAGTGGCTGTGGTAATCACTAAATTTGACGTTTGAACGTCTTTGACGTTTTTTTTCGTCCAAATTTTTTTTTTCTCAAAAACGGTTAATGTTAGGTATAGAGTGTTTGATATCAAAATTCATAAAATTTTACAGAGTATTTAAGTATGCAATAAAAAATGGGGGCACCTATTTAAAATAAGAAAGTTGTCGTTAACTTCCGGTATTTCCGGAAGTGCTGCCATATTGAAAATATTTTTAATCGATAGATCTCGTTGTAAAACAATGATGTGCAAAAAATCTCCGGTCTAGATATTGTGGTTCTCTAGAAACTTCTAATGCATGCTCAGCCTGGGACACCCTGTATATCTAGATTTGATATAAATATTATTTACAGTTTATTTCTGTAATCTGTACATTTCCTGTTTCCTCAATAGCCTGCAAATTTTGTGGAATACCACCCAAAATACACACTTAATAGCCTGCAAATTTTGTAAAATACCACCCAAAATACACACTTTTATGGAAATGTCTAGTAATGTTAACGTTTAATATTACTTAAGAAGAGCAAAAGTTTTGAAGCTAGCCAACAATTCGTATATATAATGGTTTACAGTAATTTTGTTAAATTATACTAATATTCTGGTTGTTAATGGTTTGAAATAAATCTGACAATGTCCTCCAATGAAAATACGAGTTGCTGAACTCTAATAATATTCTAATTCTGAGTTAGCAAATCAGCTAGGTGGTTTACCTAGACCGTTATTCAGAAGCTACATGGCCAAAATTATTGCATATATCGTTTAAAAATATACGAAAAGGAATTTAAAGAATATTTTTTATACATAGCTTTGATAATCTGTAATAAACATTTTTTTTGTTAAAATGGATATGGTAAACAATGTTTATCGTTCAGACCCAATATTATTACAAATTCTTGCACATTTCGATTTGTGGTCTCTTGGGTTTCAGAAGAAATTTGACGATTGTTTTGGCCTTAAAGGGAAAATAACGAGGTTACAGACCGGCCTGGAAGAGGTAGAAAGAGAGTTACTACTGCTGTGCAAGACCTTCAAATATCCATAATGGCACGACGCAATCCCCTGCTTTCTAGTACTGCTATTAAAAATGAGTTAGCTCGCCTTGAAGGAGTAAATGTTTCAAGAAAGACCATAGCAAGACTACTCCATGACAGACGATTACATTTAAGGAGGCCTCCACGTGTTCCGAAGCTTAATTTACAGCACAAAATTACGCGACTACAATGGGCTGAGGAGATGAGAGCAAATGGACCTAATTGAAATTTCGTCATGTTTAGTGATGACACAAGAATAGGCCTAGTGTCAGACTCGCGACGAATTTTGGTCTGGAGAGCATCTGGAAGACGAGCACGCTCAACCCCGTGTCCCGTTTCAGGGGGAAGCATTATGGTATGAACAGGTTATAATGCATGGAGCTCGAACTCCTCTTGGTTTTATAGATGGCACAATGACAGGTACCTCATATCTTAGAGACGATTTAGAGCCTATTTGTGGCGTTCATTTCAAAAGGGCCATCACGGTGGGGTATTAGCATGAAAAAGGTGATCGAAATTCGAAAAAGCAAATGTGTTAAAGATTTCCCAAAAAAAGAATAAAATGATAAGGTTAGAATCATGTCTGCCATGATGGCGTTGCTAATGGGTGTATTTAGTTGCATTCATTTTGTTTCAACGAAACGTAAAAGTTGTTACTTCTCACAGATAGAGGTAAATGGCTAAATTTTATGTTTAAAATTATAAATTGTTGTTGGTTCTTGTGCTCTTTTTACGTTTAATATTATTGTTTTGATTGAAAATGGATCAGCAAGCTGTAGGTATGTATTGCGCCATGGCGGAATCGGAGGTCTTACGGCTACAAAAAACCGTATTTTTTATTTTGATATTCTCTATAACTAAGGATTTTTTTTTGCAACTACAAGTTAGGCGTTCAGAAAATTTGATTAAATTTGTGACATTTTTATTATACTTAGAGATTTAGTTGCGCATTTCGAAGAAATCAGCATATTGTCTATATACCGTTTTAACTTAGTAAAACATTGGTTTTCATACAGTAAATAAAATACTCTGCGACTTTTTTGCGACTTTGCTGATAAACTGAGAAAAACAATTCTTGGTTTTCTTCTAATTTGCCAATCAGTGGTATACTAATGCGAGGTGTAAACCGCGATGGCATTGTGTTGTACAAAGCGATCGCATTAGTGCCATTAGCAGTATAGCAAAATTTGGCATTAGTAGCGACTTTAATGGTATGGGCATTGCTCGCGGATCAGTCGTAGCATAGTAGTATTAGTTGCAATATTATTACTGGCATTAGTGGCATTAACCGTGGAAACACTGGAACAGTGATTTTTCTATCTTTTTTTAGAATCGACAAATTTCCTTTATTTTGTTTCATATTATTTCATCTTTAATTTAAAAAGGCAATATTTTATATAAGGTCTACATAGAAATTTCGATTAACTATCTGTGTCAAATCCCCCACTGTGGGTGCAGTTGGGGTTGAATTTGTTTACATGGACGATAATGCTCCTCCCATTGCACTTTAGCGGTTCGCGATTTTTTTTAGGAAGAGGGTATAAGAAAACTGTGGTGGGCCACCGATGTGTCCAGATATGAATGTGATCGATCATGCTTGGGACAATGCCTAAAACGGCCATATTGCAAAAGGAATGGGATCCCCCCGTACCTTAAATGAATTGAAAATTGCTGGGCGCGAAACATGGGTAGCCATTCTTCAACATCTTCTGGACAACTTTATTGAGAGCATGCCACGTTCGTTGTCTCACAGCTTGCATTGAGGCTCGAGGATGCAATACAGACTATTAGTAGTGAGAAATATTAATAGAATTGTTTTCAATATTTTTGTTTAAAAATGAAATTTGTTTTTGTTTGATTTTCACTCATCATGAAAATAAAATTATATAAGCAGCCTTAGTTGCACTTAGATTTATCAATTTATATTAGTTATGTCCCATGTAGTAGCCAAAATATTCCAAAAATATAAAAAGAATCATATTAGGGTCAAAATAATAAAAATATCGTTATATGCAATAATTTTGGCCATGTGTGTATATCGATGAACATTTAAGGCCCTGGCGTGTCATAGCCTTAAATTTTTACTCCCATCGCGCGTATAGAAGTTTCTCTTCAAAAAGTTTTGGATTTTGGCATACCTAATTTTTGTTGATACATTTCAGCATCTCTTCAATTTGTGAATAAATTATTTAAATGTTAACCAAGTACTTACCACTTGCAGCTTCTATAGTCTTGAAAATCGATTCGTTTAAAGGACTTTCACCTAGTCGTTTTGCCAAAGCGATTGCTATATCTATCGAGATGCATTTAATTTGTCTTCTATATAAAAGAATATAAATAAAAAAAAACATTTTTATTTAATTCTCAATATTTTTTTTTTTTTTTTTGTTTTGTTATTTGTGAAACTAAAGGTGTTTTACCATAGGATCCAATGCGATGTCGCAAAACATAGGAACAAATTCATGTCTCACAAACTCGTCTTCGACTACCGATATGAAGTCCTCAAAAGCTAATGCTGCTCCTCTTCTGACCATCGGCGAATCTTCTTGTATGAAAATCTTGAAATTATGCCTTAAAACTGCCTTGTCGGCTTCGTTTAGTGGTTTGGGGTAATATCTGTAAAAGGATTGACCTATTTTTATCAAAATATGCATATCTTAAGGTTTAAGATTTTAGTTTCAAATCATGAGTATACAAAGTATCCAAATTATCCAAACTCTGTTAATTTTTAGGCTTATTTTATAAAAAAAATTAAATAGTTATTATTTTAACTTTACACTGTATTTTTATATTCACTTTTTTTTAAATTTAAAAAATAAAGATTAATGATATAATTCTTATTTTATACTTTTTTATATAAATATATTTGATATGTAAGGTATCAAGCTAGTCTAGAAAAGACGCATTCGTATTTTAAACTCTCACAAAATAAGCTCAAATTGTAGTGCAATGGGCGGGCGTAAAAGTTTCTTGATATTATTGAAATATGTAAAACAGAATACAAATATATATCGATGTGATTATGAACATCTTTAACAACCATCTAGCCTTTGTTTAGTTGCCCTCCAAAGAATAGCATTTATAAATTAAATAGGCAGAATAATGTTAAAAATTAATCTTTTCACATGAGATCTTGAAAAAACCTTATGCAGAGTCATAAAGAGATTGAGTAGACATTATTTTAAAAAATTTTCCAATTTTTTTTTTTTTTTTTTTTTTTTTTTTTTATTTTCATCCTGTATAATTTGTTATGCAATATTTTATAGATTGTTACGAAGACAACTAATATTAAATCCTCGACTTAAACAATCTTGGCATCATTAAACTTATTTTAAATAAAATTTTTACTTATATTAAGTTTGGAAGCGTATTGAGTTTTTTCCCGTTGATTTTATGTTCAGTGGAGTCACCTTTTCCAATTCTTTTGCATTTCTTTTTATCTTCTTCCATACCCTCAAATTCAACAATGACCTGGCCCGTCCTCAGCTTGCTAATCTTTACCCCCTCCTTTACTAACCCCCCTCAGATTCTCACTAATCATTCTCACCGCTATTAGTGGCTTGGATTGGTCATTCGCTGTGACCATCAAACTGTGTACTCTCTTTGGCGCCCTCCATCCTGGTCTATTTACATTCTTTTCCTCTCTGACACTCTTTCCTTTAACCGCAGTCACAGGGCCTTAAGTCTCCTTTGGAGATTACGCGTTGTTTTCAGTAGTATAACCATATATTATATATATATAGAGTTTCTTTTTAATTTTATTGTTATGTCATAGTATAACGCCAACGAATGTTTGTGTATATATGTGTCACTACGGTTTTGGTAACGGGATGTGAACTAATCTGTTCAAGGTCACATAAAACTTAAATTTCCACGTGCCGTTTGGTGTTTCAAGTCATGGATAATGAATCATAATATAATCTGATGTAATTTGTTGTTTTAAATGTCAAAGTCTTGTCAAAACATATATTTGGTTATGAATATAAACTGGAATGCACCATTAGTCGCACTGCAAGCCAACCAACGGACTGACGCACAAAAACGAATCAATCAAAGAAACGCAATATAGTATCGTCTTTGTCAATCACGGTAACATTTTAGAATAAGTAGGAGGAGCGCAGGCAGATGATTAGACCGGGCTTTAAAAACCTACGTCTGCGGTAAAAATTTACGTTTTTAATGTAAAAATGATAGCGCGCGTGTTGATTCTAACTTCATCAAGCGATGAATCACTCCCAAACATTCGTGGCGTTTACTCTATTTGTTTTGGTTTGTAAATTATCCAGCTAGATTACAAATTTGACATTTGTCATCACAAGAAAAATTATACAAGTTAATCGAAGTTTTTAGCTAGTTTATACACTAGTCGTAGTAATTGAGTAAAATATGTGTGATATACAGGGCGTTTCAAAAAACATGTGCCGTCTCTCATGGGAAGATTCCTTACGTAAAAATAAGATTTATTAAACGGTTTTATTTAGCTCGACCCGTACGGTATTTATTTATTTGTTTGTTTATTTGGGTCAAAATTAGAAATTGAACTTTAAGTAACTTCCTGTTGTCAGATTGATCTGAAATTTGGTACACACCTTTAGTTCCGATGACAATACAATGTTAGATAAGTACCGCCGGTACAAAATGGCGGATTTCATATTTTTCCACAACCCCCTTAATATGGGTATCAAATGAAAGGGCTACACTAGAGAATACTGTGATTATGACAAAATTTAAAATCCAAGATGGACGTCGTTACAAAATGGCGTATTAGGTGAGGGCATGAGTAGTCGTGTCCAAAACAGTTGTGCCAAGATTGTATGACGTTAGAAGGACAGATAAAAAAATAGGTGATTAGATGTACCTACGTAGTTAGCGGTAGCTTTACCACCCAAGTTAAGGTAATAGGTTAAAACGTGCTGAGGACTGTATGGTATTAGGGTGGCTAAAAATATAATGTCGCAAGCGTTTTCCCCTCAAGATTGGGCGTCTCTTGTTGTATATTATAGCCTTGCCCCTCTACTAGACCTCTGGGGGGGTCAGCCGTTAAAATGTCCATTACTCGTGGGAACAACATAAAAACAATAAATGAAAAAACAAACAAAAATAAAAACGAAACTACTACACAACGAAAAAGAACGCTCGAAAAGGCGAAAGAAAAGTATAGAACGAAACGTGCAAAAGAAAGTGAAAATGAAACCTATAGTCGACTACAGAAACGAAGAGAGCGGTTAGCAACAGAAACACCTGAGCAACATGATGCCAGGTTAATAGCACAACGTGAGAGACAAAGGCAGCTGGTAGAGTCAGAAACACCTGAGCGTCATGAGTCCAGGCTAGCATCACAACGTGACAGACAGAGAGAGTTGTTAGCGGCAGAAACACCTGAGCGTCATGAGTCTAGGCTGGCATCACAAAAAGAGAGACAAAGAGAGTTGTTAGCGGCAGAAACACCTGAGCGTCATGAGTCTAGGCTGGCATCACAACGAGAGAGACAAAGAGAGTTGTTAGCATAGGTTGTTAGCGTCAGAAACACCTGAGCGTCAGATTGTAATAAATTATCAGGTAAAAAACCATGTAATAATGATGCACTAAATGAATTAAATAGAATGAGGAATATTCGATAGGCATTTCCGTTAAATACTAAAACTAAGAAAATAAAAAATCGGTAAAACTTTTAAGTTAAACGGTTTTATCTTTTGTGCACTGAAAACTAGAAAATAATATAACAATTAGGTATTTTGAAACTTCTAGTTAGAAAATATTTTAGTACTAGGCAGAATAGCTTTTAGGCATATTAGTCTAAAATAAAAACGTGGGGCCATTAACTATTGCTGTAATATTTTCTTCTATACTAAGTGTGGATTGCATCGACTCACTATAATCGTAACTGGAAATTTTGACAATCAATAACCATCCGTGGCGGCTTCACCAGCGAACGCAGAGCTCATGATCTACCAAAGTATAAAGATTTGCTTTGCCATAGGTAGGATTTCAGAGGGGCCCACGTTTTTATTTTTAGTCTATATGCCTAAAAGCTATTCTCCCTAGTACTAAAATATTTCTTTTTTTTTTTTTTTTTTTTTCTAATTGTTATTATTATTTTCTAGTTTTCAGTGCGCATAAGATTCTGCTTTGTTTCGTAGCTAGAAGGGGTTAAAGTCTTTTTTTTTTCAATTTATTATTTATTAAATGATAACTTTTAATTGATGATTCTATTAGTTGGTGAATGCAGTGTGCATTCACCAATTAATAGAATACTTAAATGCTCCTGATTTTATCTAGTCTGTTTTTTTTATGGGGATATGTTAAAGACAGTGTTTAAAAAACTTGACCAACTATTGTCGACAACATGAGAGAAATTATTGTAGCTGCTTTTCGAGGTAGAACTCTATAGCCTTTTATACACATATGCCTTTTAAAATTATTATTTCCTAGCTAATCTAATTTTTCGAATAAATTTTGTTTAGATAAGTGATTAAATCACAAGACCAATTTAACCGCCATTATTTTTTCGGCTTCCTTTTGGGTTTTCTTTTTGTTTGTCGTTTGTCGTTTATCACTAATTCTGAGAGATTTTGGCAACAGTTCATTTAAAAACATTGATTTACAACTCATATGTATGACTTAATAACGATTTTAATCGGTGAAAACCCCTTATTCGATATTATTATTTTGAACAAATAAGTCGAGAAAAATACGTCAGAATTTGATATGTTGACATGCAAAACGGTCCTCGATGCATTGTTGGGATGCGTAACCAAGGTAGCAGAAGCACAAACATTACTTACGAGACGTCATTTTGAAACTATATTATAATTTATATTATAAATTGAATATTATAAATTTATGATTTGTTGTTTGTAAAAAAAATGTCGTACGAAAATGTTAAATTTTATAGTTAATAAAATTCTTATAGTTATTTGCTTCATCCTAAGTCATTCGCTTCATTTCTAAGTCATTCAGGAAATAATCTAGCCGTATATCACCCAACCTATAAATTTAATTGATTAAACTACCCAAATCATTTTTTACATGATTTTGCTTTTTAGAAAATAGTTTCATGCACAATAATTTTAGAATAAAAACCGTTTTATTAAATTATTGTGCATTCCATTCAACTATTTTTCAAGCAGAATCACGCGCAAAATATATTTGAATAGTTTAATCTATTAAATGTATAGGTCTCGTGATATAATATATGAAAAGATCCTTTTGAAAAGACAATCATTTTATGCAGTTAACAGAAAAGTCAGTTTTTGTCACATAATTACAGGTTTATATCTGCGTAATTGTGTAATATATAATATGCTTTAAACGGTGTGTCTTTTTTTATTACCTTGTATTTTACTCTCCAATCTTTAATTTTTGTTAAATTAACAAAAGGTATATCATATAGCCACCTAGATTTTTTCAAATAATAAAGATTTACTGACGCAAAATCATAAAAATTTAAATATCTGGGAAAATCTTTGTCTGAGGGGTAGGCAACCTTAGTAATATTTTGAAGATATATAAATTCCCCATTGAAAACCGGAAAAATATACTGGGTGTTATTTTAAAATAAAGGAGTAACTTGCTTTTAAAAGTGACTAATGTCCCATATTAATTTTGTCTCACCCTGTATACCTTTTCGAGTCAAATTTCAATTTGGTTTAACATACAATGGTTACTGTAATTAAATATCAGACTATACAAGGTCAACTAAAATTTAGGTGGCTGTACCGAAATTTAAAATTTACTCTTCATTTTCACAAAATGTGAAATATGTCAAAATCCTTAGATTTTAGGTATATGCTTCTTTAATAAAACTCACCTTTATTTTTTTCCTAGAATCCGATAGACATATAGGGTGTTTCTTTAGAAAAAACACAACTTCGGTGTGTATCCTTTTTTAGCGACACACTGTATAATTCTATATATTTTTATAAAATGCTTTCAGTTAACCTACATATGCTGCCAAAATTTCATTTGGATATAAACTAACGTTCACTCTGTACATAATATATTATTTTTATTTAATCTTTGGAGGGCTGTAATTTCTCCGGGTAGCATTTTAGGGCATATGTTCATATGAACTTTTGGTTTTATTTTAATCTGTGGAATCACCCACCGAAGTTAGATACACTATTTTTTTGACACCCTGTATATCCAAGTCAATTTGTACAATCTATTTAATATCCTTGGAAAGTTGAAAGTTGGAAAATAAAAGTAGGTATGTCAGTTACTTTATAAAAATTTCCAAAATAACAAGTATAAATGTTTGTGTAAAGTTTGTTTGTGTACCTTGTTTGTTTACTTTGTTTGTTTAGTTTACCTTTGTCTACAAATTGAAAACATTTTTGACAATAAAGGCATTTATTTAATAAAAGTGTATAGCTTACCGGATATAACGCTATCGTTGAACACTTGCTGGTAAACCACGAATCCCCTTCTAGATCACTCAGTACCGGCCAAATAAACTCTTTTACCTGCTCACCATTCAGATCTTTTCCTAAATAAACTAATGTATCAATTGCTGCATCTCTTATCACCACTTCGTCTGTTCTGCAAAGGGTGGTAAGGATATCGAACAGAATAGTGGAATGCTCCAAACCACCCACTAGAGGCACAAACTGCCTCAGTTGGACACATAGATTTAACAAGACTTCTTCATGGAGTTCGATTAAGACGTCTTTTAGGAAAGGAAGTAGTTCTTCTCGGGTGGATTTTTCTCCTATGATCTTAGCTATGTTTTCTGTCTTGTTGACTGCTTCTATCTGTAACTAAATATATACAATTTTCTTATTAAATATATTTAATATGAAATATTAATCTCTTTTGTTTTCATATAAAAATATATCCTAAAGACATTTAGAAAGATAGCAGTATGTTTATTAGAATTTTTTTGTTTGAGTTAGAAATTTTAACGAATAATAAAGTTTTGTTAAGAGTCTATTACGCTGTACTTTCGGGTCGCTCTCAGGAGTCGGGTAAAGCGGGTGTGTGGCCGAAGGAAACATATATTATATCTCGGAAATCTGCCTAAGGCTTAGCCCAATCCTGTCGTGTTAAGCAACACTCAAAATTCTAAACACACGTGCTTTGATTACGGTTTGATTAAGGTTTGCAGAGCTTCAGCATTTGCCATAAAATAGCGAGCAATTTTTTACAAAACCATATAAATTATATATCACTGTAATCACAAAACTTCAACCTATTTCTTTATTTTCGAGAAAATCTGGTCCAAACATAAGGAATATTTTGTTGATGTTTGACCATCAAAATCTTAAAAATAAAGAAGTTGTCTCAAAATATGCTACAATACGGATATAGTATACTCCTTTATCTTTAATTTCCTTCTTCATTCGTGTAAAAATACCTAGCCAGTTTTACATAAAACGGTAAATGCAGAAAACTTATTTTGCTACTTTTTCGGATTCGTCGTCTGTTCTGCAAAATATGGCCCACCAACATAAATAAAATTAAAAAAGGGAAAGGACTTACTGATAGATTATCTTCGAATAACGCCTCTTTGAATATTTCCAAAGGCCCCTCCTCTGGCTTTTCTTCCATCTTTTTTTTTCAAAAAAGGACGAAAACGAAATATTGTACAATGTTACTCTTTAGTAAAAATATTATACGAAATATTTCCTACCTGTTATCTCCAAAGATAAAAGCGTAATCTTGAGATATAATTCTAAAACAGTGTTAGACGATAATAAAAAAAATCAAATATGGCGTTATTGTTTTGTTGTCTTAATTGTGTGCGATATTGCGAGATAAAGTACCTAGTTCAAAAATTTGCTGTATGGTTTCTAGATTTTGATAAATTCAGTTGAATCATTATTTACGGCTTTTCTATGAAACAAGTTGTTATTTATTACTAATTATAACTATTGTCATTTATTTAAAGTTATTTACTAATTTTTCTTGAGAACTATTTGAATATGTTAACGGTAGGGGGAAAACCAACGATGCCCATTTTATAGAAATTTCAGTAATCAACTTTAAACTGTTGAGAATACCAAGTCCCAAACATATGCTAAACTGTAATTGAATATAACAAACGATGTCTAAATAATAACGTATACCGGATGCGTCTCAAAAGTAAGGCTCACCCCTAACTTTTTAATTTTTTTAGATAAAAAATCGAAATTTGGTGTGTTAGTATATGGCAAAAATTAGGATTGATTGACGAATTCAATTGTCCGGTCACTTCCTGTTTCACCGGAAATGATTACAACTTTTGATTTTTAAATGGCACACTCGGTATTTTGTTACTTTATTCGATAAAAAATGACACTCTGAATAGAATGACATATCATATGTCAACTTTTGACATTTTCGAATATGGTTCATTTGAAATTGCAACATGCGATTCAGAACGACAATTTCACTCAAAAATACCAAGTGTTTGGTACCAAATTATTCGTAAAAAAATCCTTTTTTTAAATAAGCCAATAATCCACCCCCGTTCCAAGTGAAAAAATTGAGATATGATTAAAAATACCATATTTTAGCTGGCCAGGACAAGACATTAAAACATTAGACATTAGAGAATTTATTTTTCCAACGTTCCTAGATTAAAAATTAGTGTTTTTAACACAGTTATGACACTCTAGATTGGATTTTAGTAAAGTTAAAAATATATCGAGGGCACCATTTAAAAATCAAATGTAGTCATTTCCGGTGAAACAGGAAGTAACCTAAGACAATTGAATACGTCAATCAATCCTAATTTATGTCAAGATACCAAATCTTATTTTTTTATCTAAAAAAATAAAAAAGTTATAGGGGTCAGCCACTTTTGAGACGCACCCTGTATATATTTCATCTTTTTTTTTAATTATTAAAAATACAAAAAATGCCTTGAAATTAAAACTATAATACAGACCAACTATGGTAAGTACTTACTTTGCTATAAATATCGTAGTCCTGAATCATACAGAGTGTTCAAAATTCTACGCCAAACTTTCTAAAATATAAAATAATTTTTCTTCGTTTTTTTTTAAACACCTTTTCTCCCTCTTATTTTTTTGTTAGATAGAGAATTAAAAAAAGGAACATTTTTTGTATTTAAATTATTTCAATATTTTTAACGGTTTCGCAGATATTCGCGGTATTATACACTCACCGGCAAAAAAACCGGTCACTAAAAACTAGTCCCAATTTCAGTTGGATTTCTCGCGAACAATTCATTAGATTTTGATATTTTTTTCTTTAAATTGTAAATTAATTCCTTCTTAACGGATCCTACGTCAGTAATAATTATTCCGAATTTATTTTGAGCATATACAGGGCACAACAATAAGACGAAGTTTTTTGCCCCAAACTTTGTAACACCCTGTAGGGTGCAGCAGCTATAGTAGCTATTGCTAAATCAAATCACATTGCAGCCTCATTTTTTGTGAGCATTTTTTTTAATCACGACATTATCTCTGTTTGTATTGGAGATACGCTGCTTTAAAACAAACGCCTTCAAAAAAAGCTTTAAAAACAAATCAAACATCAGAACGTAGGTAAGTTTAACCTGAAAACTAACTAAAACATGAAAATTAAAAAAAAAGTAAACAAATTTTAAGGGATTAATATCTTGTATCCACTCGCCTGGTGAAATTTCCCGTTTCCTTATCCGATTCCATGCGTCCTGGACTGTTGTTCGAAATATACCCAGACCTTTGCCCAGACCCAGGGTATCGGACCAGAATCAAACATAACGTTGACTTCGGCCATTCTTAATTAAAGCCACGATACGAGCAACATCCGTTACAGATAATGGCATTTTTTAATTTGACAACCGTTTTTCTCATATTACAAATACTCATAAATCCGTATTCGCCTATGTCGCGTCGCGCGTCGCCTTGATTATTTACACAAAACTTTCTGCCTGAGAAGCATTTTTCGGAGACGTTCGTTTTAAAACAGCATATCTCCAATACAAAAAGAGATAATGTGGTGATTAAAAAAACAAAATGCTCACAAAAGATGAGGCTACAATGAGATTTAATTTAGCAATAGCTACTACCACTGTTGCACCCTACAGGGTGTTACAAAGTTCAAGTGGCCTGTTTTATTTGAAAATCTTCACGATTCTAAAAAAATAGATTATTAAGTCTAGTTGACACGGTCAAAGTGTACTTGGATCAAATACACTTGGATGCTGCGCAAATAGCGTCCAAGTGAGAAGCGCGCAGTTTCCAAGTGTATTTAGAAAATTAACTAGTAAAAAGCTTCGATAGCTTTGATATTTTGCCTCTAATAGGAATTCTGCATCACTGTTTGTCGTCGAAGGTGACTCTGAGTAATGTCGGACACCTTTTGTGTTACGAATTTTCCCATAAGGCTGCGCACTTTTTTTCCTTCAATCATCGATTTAGTGTTATATAAAATACATGTATTACTATTTATTTTTATCTTTTCTTTTTTCATAAAATTTGTTAGCGATTTTTAGCTAAGTAAATAATTGAAATCCATTAAAAGTTTAGTTGCTTTTACTTTTAGATATTCAATGTAATAAAATCTCGTAGAACATAAACATTACATATTTGATGGATGAATAATATTCCTAGATGTATTGAAATTGTTTTCGAAATTTTAGCCAGATAGTCAATTGAAACCAATACAATTTTTCAATATTTTCGATTATGATACTTATGATATGTATTTATTCAAATACATTGGCAGTGATTGAATACAGGATTTGAATAAAAAGTCCTAAAAAACGTTAAATATATTTTGTACCGTGTTATTTTAAATACGGCATCTATTTTTCACATTAAAAATCAATTTAAGTAACTTCTATATCTATTTTGCACGCTACTTTTGAAGATTTTTTTTTACCCTGTGTAAATTAATTTAGTAAATATTATGTTAGTTCTGATAAATATAAAATAAGGTTTTTTTTTCACTGAGCATCTAAATTTGTTTCACATAGTGCCATTTACATCTTTACGAGAATTCTGAAGAAAGTCTCTTTTCAAGATTTTTTTTATAAAATTAGCATAAAGCAACTTTTTAGCTGAAAATTATATTTTCCCTTTTCAGAAAGCAAAGAGCTAGTATAAGATTACATAGTGTTTATGATGTCTCCCTATCTTTTAAAGCTCTCACTGTACCTTTGGTACAGAGAAAAATATATAAATTTAGTTTAGTTTTCGTCTGAAAACAAAAATCCCTCAGCAGCCTTCCAAGCTGTTTATCTTTGTAACTCAATTATATAGGAATGAAAATAACTAGGTAGCTGTTGAAACTAGACGTCCACCGTGACCTAGTATTTTACACTATCTTCAACGTGACAGAATACGTTTCTATACAGGGTGATACACAATTAATGGTAGATTAGATGTTTATGCGAAGTCTATCAGCTATTTTTTGCAAATCTGGATTGTTACACAAAATAACAAGTTTTGTAATAATATTACCGAATTTTTGAAATCTTCCTCACCCATTTCCTTCACTCATTGTTCTTTTTCTAGAGTCTATTTTGTGTCTAACATTTTTTAGTATTCATATTTCATAATATTCTCAGTCTATCGTATTTTCAACATTATTATGCAGGTGATACGTACTCAGCTTTATATTTCACTTTTACCTGAGTAAAACTTCCAAGCTTTAAGTGCTCAAATTTTGATCTACAGTATGTCCCCGGATTGTCTTTGCAAGAGGAAAAACTTTTTTTATTAATGATACTTTGATCTTTGATTGTTCTAAATAAATATATAGGTAGTTCTCTGATTTTTTTTAGTAAAATGTCTTTCTTGTATTTACTACATATTTTATCGCTTGTAAAACAACGCAACATCGCATAGTTTTTGAGAAAAAAAATTGTGGGAATTATTTTTCTACTTATTATAAATATTTCTATAAAAATTTATGTAGAGGTGGGGGTAGTTTTCACCCTTCAACTGCACACTTTTTCTGTTTCACACCTTTTTCTGTTTCTTTGTGAAAGTCAGATGTTAAAGCGCTTAGGTAGGCGTATCATAGGCACCCAAAATCTCATTCAAAACGGAATAGCCGTAGAATAAGTATCTGTAAAAAAAACGTTATACTACCGAAAAACAGTATTCTGCACAATTTTCCAAGCACCTAATCTACAGGATCACTAAAAAATGAATGCTAAGATAATTTTAAAAGTATGACAAAACAAAAGGGTAATGTAAACTTTTATGGCGAGTATATAAGAAGTGTGCAAAAATTTGCTTAACGAACAAAACCATTTGATTCTCTCTGTACGTAGCTACACCTTGTAGATATTTCTGTCAAACATTATTTCCATGAACGTCCATTTTCTGAATTCGTCGAAATCTATTTTTAGCGCCAATGATTTTTTATTGTCGGTGTTTTGTTTTAATTCACCTAATTTTTCATTAGTTAATTTAATTGGCCCATGCCAAGGCTGAGCCACAAAGTGTCAGTCGATGGTCTTGGTTTACGGTGACAAAGTATTGTACATTTATTACGGCCTAGGTCAGGGAGTTTTCAAATTATAGTTGGTTAAATAGAATGAGAGAGAATTTATCAAGCTATTCGTACATAAATGAAAATGTCCTAAAGAAGATAACGAGAAAGTCCACTTTTTTGAAGTAAATTTATGAAACTAATATCTTGTATTATTTTGCTTTTCTTATTATATCACGCTCTTGTATGTGTCTTTTAAC